TGGCCCCGTAGAACATTGGGTAACACTAGCGATTGCCTAAGCCAGTTGTTGTGATGGTGTCGTAACCAGTTGGACCTGGCCAGGGTTTGGCTGTCATGTGAGCCCTTGTTCTCTATCATCCCCTCAGGACGTCAGGGCACGTGTGCGTGTATGTGTGTGTGTGTGTGTGTGTGTGTGTGTGTGTGTGTGTGTGTGTGTTGAAGTGCCGTTGGAGGTGGCAGCCTTCAGAAGGGGCAGACAGGTCAAAGGTCGCCTCTGACTCATGCCCAGTGGAATTTAGTTTTCACAAAAACGAACACAGGACGCCTAAACACGCTCCACACTCTGTGAACAGCAGCAGGAAGTGATAGTTCATTAAGAAAAGAGAGGCTGACATGGCCCTTCAGTAATAAAATGGCTGCCGGAAGGTGAGAGATGTGGGCTTTTCCCTCCATATCATCCTTTTTCCTCCATATCATCCGTTTAGTTGGAGCGTATTTCCCCGTCGTTTCTTCCCTGATTATTGAGCGAGATAGCGTCTTTTCTTGGTTAACGAGCAGACGGGGCCTGGTTTCTGGAACTGTTCTGTGCGGTTTTTCTGCAGGTGAAGGATATATGACTTTTTTGTACTCAAGGCAGTTTCCATCCATCATGAAACCGGATGTGTAATTTTTAAAGATGGAAATGTGGAGCAGAGGATGCTGTTTTGTACCTTTATTTTTAACCCGCAGCTCTGCAACAAGCATTGTACTCCAAAAGATACAAATACTGTATGTGCTACTTTTTCTTTGTTTGAAAAAAATGCAGCTGACTGCTCTTAAGAAACAGACTATTTCTCACCTGTAAGTGATGTGAAGATGTCCTTTGTGTAGTTCACAGAAAATATTTGTTTTCATATTCTATTCTGACTTCTCCAGCAGACAGAGGGGATGTTTGTGTTGATGAGAAAGGGACCTGTAGAGGATGCAGGTCTCACAAATCTTCAATAACGCCTTACCTTTTAATATTTACAATCATTTTGTCTTTATTACTCAAAAATGATTTTGGTTCAATATAAATAAATTCAATATTCATACTTCAAACTGTGTTTGTGTGTGTGTGTGGTGATAGCAAACAGATCTCCTTGTTCTCCCTACAAACACAGGGCTGGTCACACCATGCAAATAGTGTTTCTCTGGTTTGATGCTCTAATCTAAAATGAACTAACGGGCAACATGATTGAATTTTACACACTGTTGCAAATTGTCAAAGAGTTTTTGTCTTATTCATATGTTTATGTTGCACAGATGTGCTGTGTGACTGCACTGATAGTGACTTTGAAAAATGGAAAATTGATGAGTTTGATGGAATTGTAGAATGATGGTGCTGCGGAGCTGTTCACTTAACAAAAACAAAAACAGAACTTGGGTCACTTTGAATTTATTCTTGGATGAGGTGGTATTCCCCCTCTCAACACATTTTGCATACTTTAATAGCACAGACTTGAACAAAAGAAAGGTCGGAAAGTGTCAATTTTCTCTTTTATTTGAACTACAGGATTATACCTGCATGAACATGTACTGCTGAGCTCCTCCTCACATGTCAAATAGAGTATAGTCTGTCATGTTAAACATTTATTCATTTCTTTAAACACCTCTGTTGTAACTTTTCATTTTATTTACTCTATTAGATAACAAGTGTCTTGATAGATTTACTTTTGACTGCTATAATTCATACATTCCTACAATCATTTGCTCTTAATATCTTGAACACCACATGTTACCAAATTTGATGTTGATGAAAACAATAATTTGAACACACTGCTTATGTTTCCTATTATGTGCAGGTATATGAAACCCAGCTATGTTGTTGATATTAAGCCACACACATTTACTGGGAATCATTTATGTAACCCGGGCATGTAGAGCCGATGATCTTTGCACAACTTCTGGAAGTGATTCAGTCAATTGGAAAACGACGGTTATAAAGTTTGATAGGATCCACACATGTCGGCTTTTATGGTTGTAAAACCACCTACATTTTCAGACTTGTCGTTGTTGTGATTATTATTATTATTCAGAAGAAGAGACACTTTTTATAAAACCGTTTGGATCAACTGCAATGTTTTTTAAACTCTGCAATAAATTAGTTATGTCCATTTATATTTTTGGGAAAATACCCAAAAAATTAGCATTTTTTAATTGAAATACATAGAATTATTTATGTTAATGCATTATTTTAATTAATGTACTGCATTGATTCATGTGAAAATTCAGAATTACTTTCTGTCCTTTACTGCTTTTATAAATTATGCAAAAAACAGTTCAGAGAAAACAACTATAAATGAAATGTAATTTTAGGCTCATATAGGTGATTAAATACAATTAAAGGCCATGAGCTTTATTTCAGCATGACTAGTTGTGTATTTTCTCAATTTAATTCGGAAGAAAATGATTAAATCCAATATGCATGTTCTTCTGCACGCCTACTTTAATATTTATATATATATATATATATTTATATATATATATATATATATATGTATGTATGTAAAGATCAGACTTTCTGCTTTTTAGATAGTTAGATAGCTGTAAATAGTTTTGTTCAAACTGATTCATTTCCCTGTTTCTGGAGGCCACAGTGTTTAGGAGCCTCACCAATGACAGAAGATAGAAGTGAGGAGTTTTATTTTAGTCTCGTTTAAAGCCCATGATTTTAACAAACCAGTTTTTAGTGTTTGCTCAGTAGCTGCAGACTAAATATTTCAGGCTTATTGTTTGCCAAATTACATCTTGCGGCTGTTGTTAATTTCAGCTTCTAGTTTTTTTCCTCCCTTGTCTCGACTCAACAGAACTCCAAAAATACTTTTTTAACTTTCCAAACTTTTACTTAACATTTAAATCAACTTTTACTACAATCACTGAACATCATCATACTATTTATTACATATATTCAATGCATGCACAAGTTACACAAATCTCTCATTTACTTCCAGTTAGAAGTCAATTTAATCTCAACACTAAGAAAGGTGATAATGTGAACTTCTTTCATAGAAACATGTTGAGCTCTGGTACTTACTGGTTGTAAATCATGAACACACTTACAGTAGAAACACCCTCTGCAGAAAGTGAAAATATATTCCCAAAAAGCAGAAAATCACCAGATTTTTAATGGAAAGACCAAGAGACTGTCCTGACTGTGAGGCATTAAAACATGTTTTAGACTGCTGGCTTTCAGCTTCTTTGTTGGTGGATTGGCCCAGGCTCATGACTCAGTATTGCTCATCGTGTAGGAGATGATTCGCCCGCCATTTCGCTCGCTCTTTGTCCTTGCCTGTTTACTTTTATCCGCTGAACTAGTGTATTTCCCCTGTGCTCTCTGATCTTTCTCTTTCTTGTGCAAACTCATATTCAGCTTTTCATCCAGGTTGTATCTTTAATTAGTTTGGTAAGTTTCTGTTTGTGTAGATGATAGGGACTTTGTGACGTGGGGGGATGGGAATAGGAGAGGCTTTGTTTCCCTCCAAAACAAAAAAAAACCTAGCTTGATTTTTGATACCGTGTCCTAACCATTTTCTATTGTGTCATTTAAAGCGTGATCCATCCGTTAGACTTCCTGTCTGCTTTGCCCATTCACTTGTAGGATATCTATTCCCTCGTATGAAGTTAATCATTACGAAAAGGCTTCCTTCTTATGAACTAAATCATTTAACACAATCTGGGGTTTTTTCTAACCATAACATAAGTGTGTGTGTGTGTGTGTGTGTGTGTGTGTGTGTGTGTGTGTGTGTG